AAATGATAGTGACATTTTATTCCTTTGAAAGCAAGCTGGGGGAAGGGGGAGGGTGGGTTCCTTACAGAGAATGAGTCAATAAAGGGGGCGGGTTTTCATGAAGGAGAAACAAACAGAACTTTCACACTGTAGCTTGGCCAGTCATGAAACTGGTTTTCAAAGCTTCTCTGATGCACAGCGCTTCCTGGTGTGCTCTTCTAATCGCCATGGTGTCTGGCTGCGCGTAATCAGCAGCCAGGCGATTTGCCTCAGCCTCCCACCCCGCCATAAAGGTCTCCCCCTTACTTTCACAGAGATTGTGGATCACACAGTAAGCAGAAATAACAATGGGGAGATTGGTTTGGCTGAGGTCTGACCGAGTCAATAACGATCGCCAGCGACCTTTTAAACGGCCAAATGCACATTCTACCACCATTCTGCACTTGCTCAGCCTGTAGTTGAACAGCTCCTGACTCCTGTCCAGGCTGCCTGTGTATGGCTTCATGAGCCAAGGCATTAAGGGGTAGGCTGGGTCCCCAAGAATAACTATTGGCATTTCAACATCCCCAACGGTCATTTTCTGGTCCGGGAAGTAAGTCCCTTGCTGCAGCCGTTTAAACAGATTAGTGTTACTGAAGACGCGAGCATCATGAACCCTTCCCGGCCAGCCCACGTTGATGTTGGTGAAACATCCCTTGTGATCCACAAGTGCTTGCAGCACCGTTGAAAAGTACCCCTTGCGGTTTATGTACTGGGTACCCTGGTGCTCCGGTGCCAAGATAGGGATATGGGTTCCATCTATTGCCCCACCACAGTTAGGGAATCCCATTGCAGCAAAGCCATCCACTATGACCTGCACATTTCCCAGAGGCAATACCTTTCGTAGCAGCGTAGATTGCTTTGACTACTTGCAACACAGCAGCCCCCACAGTAGATTTGCCCACTCCAAATTGATTCCTGACTGACCGGTAGCTGTCTGGCGTTGCAAGCTTCCATAGGGGTATCGCCACACGCTTCTCAACTGTGAGGGCTGCTCTCATCTTGGTATTCTGGCGCTTCAGGGCAGGGGACAGCAAGTCACGAAGTTCCATGAAAGTGCCCTTACGCATGCGAAAGTTTCGCAGCCACTGGGAATCGTCCCACACCTGCAACACTATGCAGTCCCACCAGTCTGTGCTTGTTTCCCGGGCCCAGAATCGGCGTTCCACGGCTGTAACCTGCTCCATTAACAGCATGATCTCCAAAGCACCGGGTCCCACGGTTTGATAGAATTCCATGTCCATGTCCTCATCACTCTCACTGCCGTGCTGCCGTAGCCTACTCCTCACCGCCTGGTTTTGCAGGTTCTGGTTCAGCAAAAACTGCACGAGGTGTTTACAATGTTCATGACTGCTGTCTTGAGCTGAGCGGGCTCCATGCTTGCCGTGGTATGGCATCTGCACTATTCGCGCCTTTTTCCTGGGTGAAACGGTTGTCTGCCGTTGCTTCCCTGGAGAGGGGGGAGGATATACCCAGAACCACCCACGACATGTTTTTGGCCCTATCAGGCGTTGGGATCTCAACCCAGAATTCCAATGGGTGGAGGAGACTGCGGGAACTATGGGATAGCTACCCACAGTGCAGTGCTCCAGAAATAGACGCTAGCCCCGGTACATGGACACACACCACCGAATTAATGTGCTTAGTGTGGCCGCATACATTCGACTTTATACAATCTGTTTCCAAAATTCTAATTATATAAATTCGGATTAATTCCGTAGTGTAGACATACCCTTAGTTACAAGTCACTTACTAGGGAATCCTCTTCTCAGCCCCTTAGAAAAAATATTGACCTAACCAATTGAACAACAGGGGGATTGGGATGGTGATGGGGATCCCTCTGACTTACCCCATCTTCTTCTGTTGTTACAGAGGGTGAAATGACATTTTTCCCTATCCCTATCCCTGCCCTGTTCCTGCTCTTTGTTATAGTTCAATATATTTTAAGTGAGGAAAACGATAGTAAAAATATCTGCTCTCCAGCACAACCTGAAACAACCTCAGAGCAACTGGGAATGAAACAATTTCTTCCCAAAGGGGGAAACTTGATGACTAACAATTGCTTTGAAATGGGGGGAACAGTATAACCATGATGCTCAGGGTTTGTTTAGACTAGGAAACATGATGGAGTTTAGGTCAGGTCAAGAGGAAAGCTAATGCCAGCCACTGCACCTGGGCTGCATCTGCACTCAACAATAATTGTCTTTTTACATCAAGATCGCTAACTTGAGCAGCCAATGCCACGTACAGTCCTAGTGGATGTAAGGCACAGGTAGTTTTTGCGTCAGTGCTGCTTGTTGGGAATCAAACCTCTCTCCCCCACCTGGACCTGATGAACATTCCGGGTTGGAGGGCCTTCTATGATGAGAAAACTGGCTCTGTGGATATGTGGAATGTGGTGGAGGTGATATATCTTGACTTTAGCAAAGCTTTGAATACAGTCTCCTGCAGTATTCTTGCCAGCAAGTTAAAAAAAGTATGGCTTGGATGAATGGACTATAAGGAGGATAGAAAGCTGGCTAGATTGTCGGGCTCAACGGGTAGTGATCAATGGCTTGATGTCTAATTGGCAGCCAGTATTACGCGGAGTGCCCCAGGGGTCGGTCCTGGTGCCAATTTTGTTCAACATCTTTATTAATGATCTGGGTGATGGGATTAATTGCACCCTCAGCAAGTTTGCAGATGACACTAAGATGGGGGGAAGAGGTAGATACTCTGGAGGGTAGGGATAGGGTCCGAGTGACCTAGACAAATTAGAGGATTGGGCCAAAAGAAATCTGATGAGGCTCAACAAGGACAAGTGCAGAGTTCTGCACTTAGGATGGAAAAATCCCATGCATCGCTACAGGCTGGGGACCGACTGGCTAAGTGGCAGTTCTGCAGAAAAGGACCTGGGAATTACAGTGGATGAGAAGCTGGATGAGAATCAGCAGTGTGCCTTCGTTGCCAGGGAGGCTAATGGCATATCGGGCTGTATTAGTAGGAGCATTGCCACCAGATCGAGGGAAATGATTATTCCCGTCTATTCGGCACTGGTAAGGCCACATCTGGAGTACTGCATCCAGTTTTGGTCCCCCCCACTTCAGAAGGGATGTGGAAAAATTGGAGAGAGTCCAGCGGAGGGCAACGAAAACAATTATGGGGCTGGGGCAAATGACTTTCGAGGAGAGGCTGAGGGAACTGGGGCTATTTAGTCTGCAGAAGACAAGAGTGATGGGGGGATTTGATAGCAGCCTTCAACTACCTGAAGGGGGATTCCAAAGAGGATGGAGCCCAGCTGTTCTCAGTGGTTGCAGATGACAGAACAAGAGGCAATGGTCTCAAATTGCAGTGGGGGAGGTCTAGGTTGGCTATTAGGAAACACTATTTCGCTAGGAGGGTGGTGAAGCACTGGAATGGGTTACCTAGGGAGGAGGAGGAATCTCCATACTTAGAGGTTTTCAAGGCACAGCTTGACAAAGCCTTGGCTGGGATGATTTAATTAGTGTTGGTCCTGCTTTGAGCAGGGGATTGGACTAGATGACCTCCTGAAGTCTCTTCCAACCCTAATATTCTACGACACACACTCCTATGACTCAAAAGGAAAGGAGTTGATAGAAAAGATCACAAGACTGACCCCAAAAAAGGGTGAGCTGCAAAAGGCAGAAGCAGGCAACTCATCTGAGGCAGCTGAGAGACCACAGTGAAGACGTTGCAAAGATCACTATGTGGGAATTAGCAAATGTGATTTAAAAAAAAAACAAAACAGTTTTTGGCTAGCCCTAATCAAGACATTTATTACAGTTCTCTCTCATGTGGATTGTCTGATGTCTAATAAGGTTTGAGCTCCGATTGAAGCATTTCCCACACTCTGAGCATGTGTAGGGTTTCTCTCCTGTGTGGATTCTTCGATGTATGATAAGCTGTGAGCTCTGACTGAAGCGTTTCCCACACTGACAGCATCCATAAGGTTTCTCACCCGTGTGGATTGTCTGATGTGTAATAAGGGCAGAGCTCCGATTGAAGCTTTTCCCACACTCAGAGCATGTGTAGGGCGTCTCTCCTGTGTGGATTCGCTGATGTGAGATGAGGGCTGAACTATCAGTGAAGCGTTTCCCACACTCAGAGCATCCATAAGGTTTCTCCCCCGAGTGGATTCTCCTATGTGTGATAAGGTGTGAGCTCCGATTGAAGCGTTTCCCACACTCAGAGCATCCATAAGGTTTCTCACCCGTGTGGATTGTCTGATGTGTGATAAGGTGTGAGCTCCGATTGAAGCTTTTCCCGCACTCAGAGCACGTGTAGGGCGTCTCACCTGTGTGGATTCTACGATGTGTGATAAGCTGTGAGTGCTGATTAAAGCTTTTCCCACACTCAGAGCACGTGTAGGGCGTCTCTCCTGTGTGGATTCTACGATGTGTGATAAGGTTTGAGTGCCGACTAAAGCTTTTCCCACACTCAGAGCATGTGTACGGCCTCTCTCCTGTGTGGATTCGCTGATGTGAAATGAGGGCTGAACTATTAGTGAAGCATCTCCCACACTCAGAGCATCCATAAGGTTTCTCACCTGTGTGGACTGTCTGATGTGTAATAAGGTGTGAGCTCCGATTGAAGTGTTTCCCACACTCAGAGCACGTGTAGGGTTTCTCTCCAGTGTGGGTTCTCCAATGTCTGATAAGAGCTGAGCTCCGACTGAAGCTTTTCCCGCACTCAGAGCACATGGAGGGTCTCTCTCTTCTGTGGATTCGCTGATGTGTGAAAAAGTCTGAGCTCCCATTGAAGCTTTTCCCACACTCATGGCATGTGTAGCGTGTCTCTTCCAAGTTGATTCTGTCGCGTGTAATAAGGTTTGAGTGGCAACTGAAGTTTTCCTCTGGCCTCTGCTGAGTCTCACAGGCTTTTGCTTTTTCTGGGATTGCACAACTCCTGGAAACATTCCCTTTGGATCTTCCTGATAATGTTCCATGTGGTTCCACTTGCTCAGCATCTTCCTGCTGGGGTTTCTCCTCCTCATTCTCACTCACCATCCCAACACCTGATGGGAGACAAAGAGACTCCAGACATAGGTCACTACCTGTGCCGGAAAGAAAGGAAATCTCAGAGACAGGAATGGAAAAGGGATGAACAAATCAAAATACGTGTGGGAGAGATTAAACTTATCAGGAGCTGATTTTCCCCAAACCTTTCCCCAGAGAAGAGAGGAAGGGCTCAGTTTTGGTCCACATCTCACCAGAAGACTCTGGAGGAAGCTACATTGGGGAGGGATCTGCTGCTAGTTGTCAGTCAGTATAGGTGGGAAGCCATGAGTGACCTCTGCCTAATGATTCCATATCTGCAAGGAACAATCCTGAACTTGGAGAGCTCACAAGGTCTTTGTAGGGCATCCCAATTGTTTCCTGTATTCGCTGACAGATTTTTAGTTGGTTTAACCAATTCCTCACCTGTGTAGGCAGCTCTCGGGAGCACTTCTTTCTCAGAGCCCTGGAGGTCTGGGACCCACGGCTCTTCCCCTCCTTCCAGCTGCGAGATCACCTCAGGTTTGGAAACTGGAAACCCTGCTCAAGGCAAAGAAAACAAGGGAGGTCTGTGGAATCTGTGGGATACTTTTCACAAAGAATATTCCATGGTTTTAACCCCAGCTCATTTTTAAGCAGTAACAGCCCAAGGCCAGCTTCCTTGGCTTGAAGTTGCAGGAGAGTTATTATTATTATAAATCATATTCATTACCTTAGTGCCTAAGGACCAACTAACACTGGGTTGCCATTGTGCTAGGCAAAGTGCAAACACAGAATAGTAGATGGCCCATGCCCTGAAGAATTTACAATCTAAATAGACAAGACAGACACAAAATGGGGGAAGGGGTAGAACCCACTGTTAGAATATAGATATATTCAGACCTGCCTGTAAAGCCTATACTTTAAGAACTTAGGTGTATTTTTATCACTTAGCTAGTGACAGGGGTATAAAACAAAGAATCAAAATCACAGTCTGCCTGTGTATGGGCCTTCTCTCACTAGGATAGTCGGAGGCCTTGTTCGTAGGCTAAGGCCTTTGGCTAAGCAGCAGGGGCAGCCATAAGCACACATCCCAAACCAGTCACATTGAAATAAGGTGGTATTGAGTTGTTAGGAAGACAATCCTGTCCTGATAGTGCCCATCACCACCAGATAAAGAAACAGATCTTAAGATGGTTAAAGAAAACTTAGTTTGATAGCATCCTGTCTGGCAAGAAATCACTTATCAATGGTTGTGGTTGTGAAACCCTCATTTCGGTATTGCTTTATCTTTATGTCCCCCACTTTTCTATTGCTAATCTGTCTTGTTCTCTAATTGTTTCTGTCATGCTGTATAAATAATTTTTTTAGGTGTAAGTTAATTAGGGTAGTGGGATATAATTGGTTAGAGAATTATGTTACAATATGTTAGGATTGGTTAGTTAAATTTCAGTACAATGATTGGTTAAGGTATAGCTGAGAATATTACTATATAAACTTGTGTTAAACAAGCGGGGGGAGGGAAATTGGAATCATGTTTGTTAAGGGGAGAACGGGAATAGGGAACAGGGACACAGGCAAGGCTCTGCGGTGTCAGAGCTTGGAAGGGGGACACGGGGTAAACGCTCTGCGGAATCAGAGCTGGGAATGGAACACTGTGGAACAGACTCTATCGGCATATAGAGATAAACCCGACTGGTGTGAAGGTCTTTGGAATATGCTTGCTTGGAAACTAACCCCAATAAACATTGCATTATCTGCACTTCAGACTTCTGGTCTTTTGCTGCTTGCAATCTGTGTGACAAGAACCAGGGAAGTGGGATGGTGAAGGGAAAGCCCTCTAACAAAACTGACATGACCTGATAACCAAGAGGTAAGCCTTAGAGAATGGTTTTAATACACTTTGTAACTGATGAGGGATTCCCAAGAGGACTGATGAGGGGGTGATGGTAAATACACATTTAGATCCTTTTCTTGTTTTATATCTTTTCCCCATAAGGCTTAACCTCTGGCACACTGTCATGGATGCATAGGATCTGTGCAATGCCCTGGCTTTTAAACAGTCCTTGGGAGGTGCCCCTTGAGTATGCTAGACCCCCAAGGGGTTCCACTCTTCCACAAGGATAGGCCATGTAGCTTTAGCACCTGAGCCTCTGGCTTCAACACTCGTATTTCAACCTGTGAGCTCTGCCCAGCAGGTCCAGCTGAACTACACTCCTGTTCAGAGACTGTTCCTCATTCATGCTTCAATGCACCTCAGCAAGTTTTTGTTGTGACACTGCGCAGACTTAAAATACAGCAGGGTTTATTAGTCAACTGAAACCCAGCATTAGAAAGTCTTTAGATTAGGACAGAGATGCAGAGAAGACAATATAGTCCGTACTGGCCAATGCTCTTGAGCCATTCTGCTGTTAAAAACAGTTTTGTTTCCTTTCACTTTGCCTGTCCATTTGTCTTTGCTCCGGTAGAGCTCCCTGCGTCTGTAAACCCAATTCTTCCTGCTCACAAAAACATAACGAGTCCTGTATGCTTCACTCAGCAAAGCTGAGATCTTCCCATGGACAGGTGAGAATTATTCCCTTGTCTCTGTCAGGTATTCTATTGATGTAGGTTGGTCTCAGCTTGTCCTTAATGACCCATTCATATCACCCCAAGACAGATATGTGACAAAACACCTCATGTCTCCTCCTCTTTATAATCATAGCAATACCAATCACAGAGGGAAACTGAGGTGTGTATTGGCATCATAGAAGTATCACCAAAATTCCCACCTCTGTCACACACACACTGCTCACAGCCCTTGGAGAGAAAGCAAAGCACAGGAACTGGATGTTAGTCCAGTGAACACAGTGGAGGACAAGCTGCAATCCTCAAACCCTGGTCAAAAAGGAGAGGCATGTGGGTCCCTACCCATAGAGAGGGGCTGGGTAGAGGCCTGATACCTGAGAGGCCATGTACAAGGGCAAGTTGTACCCCAATATGTAATCTTAGGGTATGTCTACACTACGAGAGTAGTTCAATTTTACTTAAATCAAATTAGTGGAACCGATATTACAAAGTTGAATGTGTGTGTATCCACAGTAAGAACAGTAACTCGACTTTGTGAGTCCACACTAACGGGGCAAGCATCGACATTGGAAGCGGTGCACTGTGGGCAGCTATCCCACAGTTCCCGCAGTCCCCTCTGCCCATTGGAATTCTGGGTCGAGCCCCCAATGCCTGCTGGGGAAAAAAATGTGTTGAGGGTGGTTTTGGGTAACTGCCATCATTCAACTGTCACTCCCGCCCTCCCTCCCTGAAAGCGCCGGCAGGCAATCAGTTCACGCACTTTTCTGATGAGTGACAGCGCGGACACCACAGCACTGCGAGCATGGAGCCCACTGCGACCATTGCTGTAGTTATGGCCATTGTCAACACCTCGCACCTTATCATCCACCTTTTTCAGAGGCAGATGCTGAGAAATCAGGCGAGGAGGCTACGGCAGCGCGGTGAGGACATTAAGTCTGAGAGGGGCACAGACCTCTCGCAAAACACGGGACCCCGCGCCGTGGACATCATGGTGGCAATGGGTCACGTTGATGCTGTGGAACGGCAATTCTGGGCCCGGGAAACAAGCACGGACTGGTGGGACCGCATAGTGCTGCAGGTCTGGGATGAATCCCAGTGGCTGAGAAACTTTCACATGCGTAAGGGAACTTTCCTGTAATTTTGTGAGTTGCTGTCCCCTGCCCTAAAGCGCAAGGACACCCGGATGCGAGCAGCCCTGACTATCCAGAAGCTAGTGGCCATAGCCCTCTGGAACCTTGCAACGCCAGACAGCTACCGGTCAGTCCCGAACCACCTTGGCGTGGGAAAATCTACCGTGGGGGTTGCTGTGATGCAAGTAGCCAACACAATCGTTGAGCTACTGTTCTCAAAGGTAGTGACCCTGGGAAACGTGCAGGTCATCATAGATGGCTTCGCTGCGATGGGATTCCCAAACTGCGGTGGGGCTATAGATGGAACTCACACCCCTATCCTGGGACCGGACCACCAGGCCAGCCAGTACATTAACAAAAAGGGCTAATTTTCAATGATGCTGCAAGCACTGGTGGACCATAGGGGACGTTTTACCAACATCAACGTCGGATGGCCGGGCAAGGTTCATGACGCTCGTGTTTTCAGGAACTCTGGTCTGTTTAGACGGCCGCAGGAAGGTATTTACTTCCCAGACCACAAAATAACTGTTGGGGATGTGGAGATGCCTATAGTGATCCTCGGGGACCCAGCCTACCCACTAATGCCCTGGCTCATGAAGCCCTATACAGGCGCCCTGGACAGTGAAAAAGAACTCTTCAACTATCGGCTGAGCAAGTGCAGAATGGTGGTGGAGTGTGCTTTTGGACGTCTCAAGGGGAGATGGAGAAGCTTACTGACTCGCTCTGATCTGTGAAACCAATATCCCCATTGTTATTGCAGCTTGCTCTGTGCTCCACAATCTCTGTGAGAGCAAGGGGGAGACGTTTATGGCGGGGTGGGAGGTTGAGGCACATCGCCTGGATGCTGATTACGCCCAGCCAGACAGCCAGGCGATTAGAAGAGCCCAGCAGGACGCGCTGTGCATCCGGGAGGCTTTGAAAACTAGGTTCCACAGTGAGCAGGGTAACCTGTGACTATTAAGTTTGTTTAAAGAGAAGCTGAACCTGCCCCCGTTTCTTTAGCCACTTAATGTTGACTAGCCTCTCCAGTTACATACCCTCTTCACCCCGTTGCCCCCCTTCCAACACACCTTTAAAAATAAAATAAATGGAACTTTGTTCATTAACACCATTTTCTTTATTAAGGATTTTGTGGTAAAGGGTTGAAACTGGGATCCAGACTGTGGTGGGGAGCGGGTGTAGGGATGGAAAGGATGCTTCTAAACTTGAGGAATGACAGGCTCCTGCTCCTAGAGCGGTCCGCAGTGGTGGACTGCTTGTTTCAACGGAGCCTGCCACCCCTCCTTTTCAGGACTCTGTGTGTGCGGGCTGTGTGACTTTGTGGCAGGGGAGGACGGTTACAGATCCCCTGCTGCGTGGCTCTGTCATCCAGGCTAAGGACCGCTGCATAAGATCTGTAACCACCCTTCCCTCCCCCCCTCCCAGAATATGAAAACCACCTCCCAGACTGACCAGGGTGCCTAGTGACTGCAATGTGTGTGTGACCTGCTGCTGAACCTGCTCCCGTGTCTGTACACTGGTAAAGGTGACTGTCCTCTCCAATTACCGGCCCCCTTTCCCCCCTTCAAACACACTCTCCTCTAAAAGAACATGACGGAAACAGTAATTAACAGAAATGTACTTTTTATTAACAACTACACAGTTAGGGGATGACACTGGGACGGGGGCTTGGGTGAGGTGCTTTTGGAGTGAAGGAAAGGACTTATCAAAACTTTGGGAATGAGAGCCTTCTGGTACTTGAGCGGTCTGCAGGGGTGGAGTGACTGTTTTCATGGCCCCTGCTGCCCCTCCTTCTTGAGACTTTGGGTGAGGGGGGGATGGGACTTTGTGGCGGGGGAGGGCGGTTAGAGATAGACTGCAGCAGGGCTCTGTCCTCCTGCCTCCAGCCCTGCAGAACATCTACAAGGCGCCGGAGCGTGTCCGTTTGCTCCCTCATTAGTCCAAGCAGCGTTTGAGTCGCTTGCTGGTCTTCCTGCCACCACCTGTCCTCCCGTTCGCTGTGTGATCGCTGGTATTGCGACATGTTCTCCCTCCACTGGATCTGCTGTGCCGCCTCAGCTCGGGAGCAGCCCATAAGTTCTGGGAACATCTCGTCCCGTGTCCTTCTCTTTCTCCGCCTAATCTGCGCCAGCCTCTGGGAGGGGGATGCCGGGGTAGGTTGGGAGACACTCACAGCTGTAGGATGGGAAAAAGGGAGTGAATTCCTCACAAAGATACATTTTTGTGAACAATGAACATAGTCTTTCTCTGTGAACAAGACCATGCACAGCACCTATTACATGCGCACTCAGGACAAGGTCGAATTTTCAGCCTTCCCATTCAGTGCCTGGGGTCTTGTAGTACAGATCACACAATCGGGGCAGGACAGCGGAATTCAGGTAGCAGGCATACAGGGTAAGCCGTAGATTTTTGGCTGCTGAAAGCTTAATTTATAGCAGTGCCCTCCTTTCATTCAAAGCAATGCCCCTAGCGTTGGCCAGTTCCTGCTGCTGGCAATCCGGCCAGCATGAACTCTGCCCCTGTCCCACCCCCCTCGCGGATGTCCCTGGGAAAGATCCCTGTATGCTGCCTCTGTCCCGCCTCCACCGCGTGGCTGTAAACCGCCGATTACAGTTATGTAAAGGAACAGGCAATCAGTCCCAATACTAATATTCCCCTAATTTAAAGCAGGTCACCATGAGTGATATCACTCTGATGAGGATTTCGAACACAGAGAAAGACCACATGCTGCGTGAATGTCAGCAAAAACCAGGGACGTATGCCACCATGCTGTGCGAGGCACTGATCCCGGAGTACTTGCTGCTAGCCTGGCGCGGAAAAGTTTCCTACCATGGAGGATGCAATAAGGCCACTCTCCCCAGGAACCTGATGCAAAGGCTTTCAAATTACCTCCAGGAGAGCTTCGTGGAGATGTCCCCGGAGGATTTCTGCTCTATCCCCGGACATATTGACAGAATTTTCCAGTAGCTGAACTGGCCAGGACTAAAAAGTAGAGCACCTAGGGCAAACTAATCATGAAAAACCCATTGTTAATATTCCATTCCTGTTCTGATCAAAATAAATGTTTACATGTTTAAAACACTTACCGACTGATCCTTCCCCTGATTCAGGGTCAGGGTTAATGCCTTGGGAGGGTTGGTAGGGGATCTCTGTGAGGGTGATGAAGAGATCCTGGCTGTCGGGGAAATCAGCGTTGTAAGCGCTGTCGACTGCCTCGTCCTCCTCATCTCCTTCCTCATCTTCCCCATCCGCAAACATCTCCGAGGAAGCGGCCGTCGACAATACCCCATCATCAGAGTCAACGGTCAGTGGCGGGGTAGTGGTGGCGGCCGCACTTAGAACGGAATGCAGTACCTCGTAGAAACGGCATGTCTGGGGCGTGGATCCGGAGCGTCCGTTTGCTGCTTTGGTCTTCTGGTAGCCTTGTCTCAGGTCCTTGATTTTCACGCGGCACTGCGTTGCATCCTGGCTGTATCCTCTCTCCGTCATGGCTTTTGAGATCTTCTCGTAGATCTTTGCATTCCGTTTTTTCGATCTCAGCTCCGAAAGCACGGACTCCTCGCCCCACACAGCGATCAGATCCAAGACTTCCCGATCAATCCATGCTGGGGCCCTCTTTCTATTCTGCGATTGCATGGTCACCTCTGCTGGAGAGCTTTGCATCGTTGCCAGTGCTGCTGAGCTCGCCACGATGACCAAAGAGGAAATGAGATTCAAACTGGCCAGACAGGAAAAGGAATTCAAATTTTCCTGGGGCTTTTCCCGTGTGGCTGGTCAGAGCATCCGAGCTCGGACTGCTGTCCAGAGCGTCAACAGAGTGGTGCACTGTGGGATAGCTCCCGTCGCTATTAGCGTCGAATTCCATCCACACATACCCTAATTGGACATGGCCATGCGAATTTAGCGCTACTCCCCTCGTCGGGAAGGAGTACAGAAATCAATTTAAAGAGACCTCTATGTCGAACTAAATAGCTTTGTTGTGTGGACGGGTGCAGAGTTAATTCGATTTAACGCTGCTAAATTCGACATAACCTCCTAGTGTAGACCAGGCCTTAGAGGTGTAAAAAGTGCCCATTTGTGTCTGGGTAGTGGCCCTGCTATGGGAGGGAGGAATGCAGGAACGGTAGCCAGGGTTGCTGTGCACAGAGATGGGGAGGTTATATGGGGAGGGGCGTAATGAGTGAGAGAGGGAGGTCAAGAATTAAAATAATAATATTTGGGGTGGGAATGTAAAAAGAAGTGAAACAACAGAAATAAAACTGGAGTGTAGACTCTAAAGCAAAAAGACTTGGGTAGGGATTCAGGGTTAAATGTCTGGGATCACCCACAGCTGTAGATCCCAAAACTTCTCCTCCTTTCCACTGACCCACCCAGTCCACTTCCTGGGTGCCCTTCCTTCACACTCCCCTCCCCTTCTTCCCATTACTCTCAGTCGTCACCACCTTCTGGCACCTTGGGGCTTCTTGTGTTCCCTCCTCGTCTCTCACTACCTCCTCTATCTCTGCTGCTTCGAAGCTCTCACCCTGCACACACTCTCACCATTTCCTGGCACCCCAGAATTATCTACTCCCCCTCTTCTCTTCCCCTTGCACGGCTCTGTTCTCCCTTCACCTGTGGGGTCCTGAATGGCAACATTATACGCTCTCCTATCAAAAGACGAGCTCATCTGACTGTCACACAAGCCATGCATCAGTCATCGACCTATTTACTCAATTTAGAATTCTACAGGTGGCATATTTTCCTCTTAAAATAAGGAAAAGGCATGAAAACTGTAGTTATTAATGTATCCAATAAGGATACATTAAATGCAATTTTTAAATGACTGACGGCACCAAAAAGGCAAATCTCCAAAAATTATTCTAACAGGTGGGAGATAAGGAAAAAATAGATGGGCAAGGAAACTTGTCAAAACTTGTATGACGAATGAAGGTATAAAGTTATTACTACTCAGGTTCTTTAGAGACCTCACAGCTTCTAATAACGGAGGGGACAGGACTCCTTACCCAGAAAGACCACGTTCTCATAGTTCTCCTGCATGACATCCTTGTAGAGAGCTCTCTGAGTGGGGTCGAGCAGAGCCCCCTCTTCCCTGGTGAAATACACAGCCACCTCCTCGAAAGTCACCGACCCCTGAAAGAGAAAGAGTCCAACACTCAGTACCTGCTGCCCCAGTTACAATCCCACTATTCACGGAACAGCAGCACCAGGTAAATGGAAATGTCACGAGGCACATCTTAACAGAGTTCCACCCCACCTTGCTTAGAGCAGCCAGGAGGCATCAGAGGGTAGAAAGAGAAAACCGTTGTGTCTCCCAGCTGACAGACGGAGGCAGGGTCTTCAGATACCTACTAGCCAGAGCTTAATATAGGAGATGGGGTTGTCTCTGGACCCTGCTGGTGGCTCCCTGGTAGGAATCCCAACACACTCCAAATAAAATATATGGAAGAAAGGGGAAGTCAATAGTAAAGAATATAAGTGCGAAGGTCAGAATTGTAGAAGACTGGCTATAAGAAATCAATGACCAATCAATGAAAATAAAAAGGAAGTTTTTAATAGTATATTAAGTACAAAATTAATCTTAACAATGGTAGTGGTAAATTACTAGACGGAAATGGCAGAATTATCAAAAATAATGCAGAAGAGGTAAAAGTT